ATTCATCAAGGTTGTGCAGTGCAGCTGTTGTCTTCGAAAAAGAAAGTATCAGCCCCTGGCTGGAAGAAACAGAAACATAATTATGTTATGATGAGCTGGAAAACATGCAAAGAAAAATTGGAATGCAAAGCATGATAAATGATGCTTTGTCAAGTGCGAAGCAGCAAGAGAACCAGGCGGCACAATAATAACTCTTCTCTAGTCAGTGCTTCCACCTCGGCCAGCAAAGTAAAGCAAGAAAAGCACCACTCTACCTACCACAGAACAGCTCCGTCTCCTTGCTGTAATATTTAGTCCTACATTATTTAGTGTAATATTTAGCACAGTTATGCCGGGCTTGTAAAGCAGATAATGCAGTTATCCTGCATGATGATGCGTGATAAAAATGAGAAAAGGAGCAGCCAGGTGCTTCTCAAAATTGAGACTAAAATCCACAGAAAGAAAATGGGTAATATTATCTTATTCCTGATTTTTCAACATTTTAATATTCAAAGTTTTGAATCTTTTTCTTAAAGACATCTTTAGGATATTTTCTTCTATAAAATGCCAAAATTTTATCCAATAAAATAGTGCCAAATTTTATCCAAGATGGCTATATGCAGCCGTCTCAGAGTGAATAGGAAATGCCATCCCAGAACAGACTTAATAATCTGGCTGTCCTCACAAGGACAGGGATGGGCTTCCCCTTCAAGGGCTACAGCAGGTTGTCTAGGGTGGAAAACCCTCAAGTTTATTGTCAGGATGTAAGAGAATCCAGTGGGAAAACAGACTAGTTATAAACCATCACAAGAAACTGCTGTTTAGAAACCAGTGCTGGCCAGGGATCAAAAGGGAAATACATATAAAGGAAGTGTTCTCAGGATAAAGGGGAATCTGATAAAAATAATTTTAAAAAATTCATGAGGAAGGGGAATTTGGTGGGCTTATTTTGACCACATACGCCAAAGGCGCAGAGAAGCTATTACTGTGCCCTCTAGTGCCTGAGAATTGCAAATATGTACCAGAAATTTCAAAAATTGGAGATTTTTCACATGAAAAAAATTGCCCAGAGAGTTATTTCCTGTAGCACCTAGTGTGGATCCTCTCCCTCTGCGGGACACGGCTAAGGCTGCAGAACTCCAGAACTGCAAACACCCCAGTTGATTCTGAAACAGGGTTGTCAGCACAACTGTGTCAGCCCTCCCCGGGCAGGCAAAACTTCGGAACACAGTTTCAGGCCTTGGTGTTGAGTTTCCTACCTTTGGAGGATATCTTTTATATCTTCTGTGCTAAGAATGCCTCAGAAGCTGATATCAATGATGTAGGTTTTTATGAATAAAAAAGCCCAAACAAACACCCAAACAAAAAAGTGTATTTCTTCAGTAATTAGAACAACCAGCTCTCAAATTAGCAGTTACGTAGGATGGGCTATCTTTTATAATTCAATTTACAGGATGGAAACCTATATTCTAACTGCATACTTTTAAGGGTGTATTTTTGGTCCTATTAAAAAGGGAGCACAAACTAGATAGCATTCACTCATAGAGCATCTGTTGTAGGCACCCCTCTATAAGTGACTTCTAATGACAGCAAGATTTGCAGAATTTTTATTGCTTAAAAAAAAGGAGTATTCTTATCACTAATTATTTTCATTTACATAATAAAAATACTTTATTGCTTGACTGTAGTTTAGTATCTAGAGGTATTAAAGCACTTGCATGTTAATCTAATAATTCTATTCCCACTGTGATTAGGGAGAGCATAAATAGAAAAAATAATTACTGGCAGGCAGCAAATCAGTGGAAAGCTGCAAACAGTTTATGTGATCCCGAGATCCCAGCCCTGCCCCCTGGGCCCTTCTCCGTTGCCCTCGGCGCTGATTTGCGATGAGCTGTGTGAGACAGACCTGCCAAGCGCTGCCAAGCGAGGTGAAATTACTGCTGATCCTCCTAGCTGAACTTCAGCCATAAAACTGTGTCCTTTATCGTTTTCTTCCTCAGACCACTTTGCCTGATTCCATGCTTACTTGTTGTCTAGAAGGCATTAAAATAGATGTTTTATGGAGAAACCAAAGGAGTTAATTCCGGCCCCCGCTCCCATCTCCTCCCTATACGTGTCTCATTCAGCGATGCCACCAGGCAAGCAAAGGCAGTTCACACAAAAACAGCTGAGTGGCTGCACTGTGGCTGGGGATGAATGCAGGAACAACCAAAGAGACGATAAAACCTAAAATAATGTCTCTAAATTGTCTGCAGCTCCTTCGCTTTCCCCTTTTATTTCTCCTGGCTTCATCTCCGTCGCTCCCCACGTGCTCCCTTGCCTTCACGAGCTGTTCTCCCGCCAGCTCTGCCTGCTGTAACTTGGTGCTTCTGTTGCAGCTGAGTTTTTTATAACCACACACTTAGGTGGTTTCTTTTTGCTTCCTCTTGTCTCTGTAATTTCTTTCCAAAAGTCCTTCTCGGGGTCCTAGTGAGAAGACCCACAAATGGCTCAGTGCCACCAAGCCCCCTGCTCTGCGCAGAGCCCTCCCTTGCAATGTAGGGGTGTGAAACAAGCAACCGGAGCAGAAGGGTCTCAGAAAATCTCTTCACCTCTGTGTGCCAAGAGGATACGATTCATTAAAAATACATTTTGTGAACCGAAGTCTAAACGACAAAGAAAATGGAGTCTCATTGCCTCCGCCTGCCGTCGGGATTGCCCTCCAGCCCTCATGCTCTCTTCCCTCCATCCTTTCTCTTATCTCTAGCCTGTTCCCTCTCTCCCCTTGCTGTGATAACAACTTTTCATTATATCTGCTTTCTTTGTCATCTGCAAAATTGATTATTTTCCTAAAATATGCTTTATGTGAGGGATAAATCCTTTTTTCTCTTCTCCTACGGGTACCTTAGGAGTCAGTGGAGATGCTTAAACTAAGCAGGGTTTACTCTTCAATACACAAATACCTTTCCGGACAAGGCTTAAGCAATTACTGAGTTAGTGTAAAGATTCACCAAGTGTATTTCTGTGCTTTATTAAGAAGTTGATTTAGCTTAAACTGTATTTCCAAAATGTATTTCACTCCACAGAGAAAAGAGAAGACGTTACGGTCTCATAAATACTGCATGCTCAAACATCCCTTTGATTTCTCACTGAGAGACGAGGATGCAGTAATTGCTCTGCTCAAGCTTTGTGCTGTTTTGGCTTCACCTGGGTGAATCCTTCAGTTCAAATCCACACACTTTTCTCAAGTGGCTTTTCATTCACGCCTGAGGCTCCAAACAAACATCAGGGAGCGAGTCGCTCGATTTTCACTCTGTTCTGTAGGAAATAATCATTACAAGATAGGTGCGTTAGGGGTGGGAATGTCCAAAACTCCAGGGGGCTCCGGATGAGCTGGGGAGCAGGGAAGGAGCGGGGATCCCGCTGCTCCTCGCCGGGCTCCTGCGCACCAGGAGCCTCCGGAGCCGGCAGGGCCGCTGGGAGCCGACGGCATCGCGGTGTCGGGGGAATCCCGTGTCCGGCCTCGCCGCTCTCTCCACACAGCGTCTTGCCCTCGTGTCCCCACAAAGGTCACTTCTTTCGAGACGCTATTTTTATCCCGGATTTCAGAGTGGGAATTTTCCTCGTCTCCCCTGCCCTCGCTGCGGCCCTGGGAGCTCCGTAATCCCAACCCATGGCAGGAGAGCAGAGACGGCTCTTGGGAGGTCCACACCACGGTACAGACCCAGGAGCGCTCCCACAAATAGCTGTGTGAGCCGGAGAAAGGGGGCTCCTTCTCTTTCGTTCTTGCAGTCCAGTTACCATCTGATCTCTGTCCCTTCCGTAAACGTAATGCCTTTACTTCTGCAGGCTCCAAGCTGGATAACAGCGCCCAGCAGAGCTTAGACAGTAGCTGCCCAGCAAATCATCCCTGTGCAGCTCCCAGGGTCCTGCTGAAGACCCCGTCAGACCTAAATCTGCCTTGTTATGAAGAGCCATAAATGGCTTTTTCTCTTGAACAATCACAGTTAGGGGAATATGTAACCTTGCTCTTGCAGTTTATAGCTAAAAACCCTCTAAGGCATTTCATATAAATGACACTAAAAGGGGGAAAGATCTGCTTTTGATTTCCTTTTCATATGGATCATTGAGGCAGTTTTGCATTTATTGTTATTGTTATTGCCATGTATTTCTTTCCTTGCTTCAGCCTTTGTTCCCAGGTTGGGACCTCCTGGGCTCTTGCCTAGTTTAAAAAAAAAAAAAATGTTAAGAGGTGCCTTTCCTCAAAAAAACTCTAGTTGCATATTTAAGTATCTAAAAAATTAAAATGTACATTATTACGTTGAAACCTAAAAGGCCTGAATCCGTGCTCTTAACCTAGGCAGTGCTTTAAAGCACTCAATAAACGCTCAGCATTACCGGGATTAGGAGGCAGAGCCCCGTCCCCGGGTCCTTTAAAGCGCGGTGGCTCCAGGGGCGCCCCGCTGCGCCGGCCGCCCGCGCGCAGCCCCCGCGCAGCCCC